TGCGATGCGGATGCCGGTGACGTCATCAGCGACGTCACTGATGACGTCATCAGTGATGATGACAATGCGGATGTCGGTGACGTCATCAGTGACGTCGCTAATGACGTCGTCAGTGATGATGACGATGACGATGCGGATGCCGGTGACGTCATCAGTCATCAGTGACGATGACGTCATCGGGGTCACGTGACCTCGGGGAGGGGTCACGTGACCTCGGGGGGGTGACGTGCCCCCCCCCCCCCCCCCGAGGTCACGTGACCCCGGGGGGCTCGCGCGGTGCATTATGGGACATTTGGCATTATGGGACATCGGCGTCGGCGTAACCGCGCGGTTACGCCGACGCCGCTCAAGCCGGAAACGGGCGCCAAAGAGCTGCGCTCTAAAACACGAAGGTTCACGCAAAAGAGTGCTTAGGGTGCGCACCTGACTTCGCCGGTACGAAGATAAAGAGGGGACACCGAGACCGCTATGGACACGAAATCATCGAGAACGCAAAAAAAAGAAAAGAACGTGTCATCGACATCCTTAAGTCCATAGATACGTGAAGTGAAATTTTCCAGGCCGGAACTGCAAAGAGTGTGCAACTCTCTGTAGAAATTGGACAGTCATGGATCATCCGCCCTTGCCCCTTCGTTTCCGCGGCCTTGTAGCTACCCATGGCAAAATACCAGTGTTCAAGAAGAGGTTTACTTAATAACTAAAAATGAGCTCGTCGGTGCATAGATACGAATACTTGAAAGGATAAAACACAGAGGACGGGGTCGGAAACGGGACTTTTTTTATTGAGCGACGACATAGAATGGCACAGACAATAAAATCGCCCCCAAATATTTCAACGTTCTGGGAGAACTAAAAGAGAAAAAACTGTTAAAAGGGAAAGAAAATTTACTATAAATATAAAAGTTTAAAAAGCGCTGGCGTCACGACGAGGTATCAGTAATCTAGTCGTATCCGTTGTTGGGAATTCGACCTCTGTCTTTGTCAGTGATAATGAGGGTAACAAACTTTCTTTACCTTTACTGATCACAGACAAAGACAGTCGTCGAATTTCTACAACACTAGAGATGACTAGATTACTGATACCTCGCCGTGACGCTAGTGTTTCGTAAACTTTTAAATTTATAGTACATTTCTCTTAGGAACTGTCAACAATATTTCTGCACCTTCATTATCACTGACAATGACAGAGATCGAGTTTCTTGCACCAGAGACAATTAGATTGCTGATGCCTCGTTGTGATGCCAGCGCTTTTTAAACTTTTTTTATGTTTATAGTAAATTCCATTTTCTTTTTAACAATTTTCTCTTTTCCTTCTTCGAGAACGTTGAAAGCTTTGGGGAGCAGCTTTATAGCCAGTGCCATTTTTGTGTTGCTCAATGAAAGAAGTCCCGTTTCCGTCCCCGTCCTTCATGTTTTATCCTTTCAAGTATTCGTAGAGGTTTCATGTTCACCTGGTATTTTCCCGTCATCTTCAGGCGTGCTTCTGAGGCGGTTTTTTCAATTCTGTACCCCCCGCAGGCGCAGAGGACGTGTTCCCTTTATAAATATGTTTACGTAAGGAGCATTCAGAAGATTCGGCTTTACCAATTTTATAAAGATATTATTCGCTATGTAAAACGCTGAGCAGCAAATTATGTAACACCGTCTTTCCTTCTCTTAACCCTGGGAGCTTACATGCGTATCGGGGAATCGGTTACCGAGCGTGTTGAAGCACCGTAGTTCGGAGCACGTGGAGCGAACGCTCCCAATATCGAACCCAGGGTCCTACAGGTTCAATAGACCTATTCCGAAACCCGACGCGCCTCCTCGCGTCGTAATGCCACGTTATGCATTGTGGGAGTCAGCGGGAAGCAAAATCCACACGCGCTCCGCTCCTGGCCCACAGCTTCCCAGAGTGCAACGCGCGCGGTGACGTATTTATGGAAGTAGTCTGTGCTCACCGTGCCCGTTTCGTTTTCGATTAGCGTCTTGCCCGGCATGCGGTCGTGTACCACTACTGCGCCCGCTACTGTATAGTCCACGTTTAAGGCCCTAAGCTAGCATGCAGTGATACTGCACTAATTAAATTTCTCGCCTAGCGGAAACGCCAGACGCCCGTTTGGGGCTTTCTCAATTCCCGCTGTCCTGACCCTAAACAAACAAACAAACAAACAAATGACCCATCAAACACATACGCACAAGCACACACACCCACACACGCACGATTCTATGCCTATCGAAGTTTCGGCAACAAAAACTAACTCCTTGTCGCGCAAACAAAAATAAAAGGCTTTGTTCGTTTGTCTTTGGGAACTAGATACCCTTTCCCGGGTAGCGACGGGAAAATGATATATCGATTAAAGTCTGTTGTGGCCGTTAACTTCTAAGTTCAAAAAGTTTGGGTGGAGCAACTTCGCCGTGCTGCAAAAATTGAGAGTGTCCCTTGTTGTGACGGTCGCGTACGACGTTTACGCCTCCGCTCCGCGGACGGAGGTCGAGAGACCATTGTCGATCATGACGGCCTGTTTAAGTTGAACTTGACCCGGCTCGAACTGCGCTTCCTTGGAAGGCTCTTCGACTGCAGCGTCTTTAACGTCCTATCCCGCTCGTGAATCTAAAGCGGTGCCGAAGTGGCGACACATTGCGTCAGAGAAGCCGCCGAGTCGTGCTGTCAAACCGCAAATGATACTGGTTTGCATATACTGCTTACCATCGAGTACTTTTACCGAATATATATTCTCATTAAACGGCCAATTACAAAACCTAACATAGGAAAACATAATTAAAGGGGGTATTTTAATGCTAAGAGTAGTGTTTGGGGAAAAGAGAACAGATGAACGAGGAGGAGAACTCATTGAAATTATGTTGGATGATAACCTAACAACCATAAACAAAAGTAACTTTATGCCTACTTTCGAAACAATTGATGGTAAAAGTTGGGCAGACATAATGTTAATACACTCAAATATGTCATCAGCATAAGTCTTTTGAAAAGTTTTGGAAACTGCTTCTTTCAGTGACCACCGGTACATATCCTTTTCTCTATATTACGAAAAAAGAATACCAGTAAAACAATTAACTAAAAAAGTAGAAATGCACTGAACAAATAAAATTTATGACGAGTGTTGGTTCAAACAAATAGGCATAACACCAACAAGCTCAGTTTTAAAGTAAAAATAATATTAAATATATGTTTTATAAAATTCCAAATATATACAAACAAATGTATGCGTAATGTCAAACTTACATACAAGACACACCCTCGGAGGACAAACGAATTAGACATCATGAGAAAAAAAAGGGAAGAGCTCTTAGACGCCGTTATCAAAGGTGTAAAAATGCGGATTTAAAATGAACGTTCAAAAAAGCTTATTATGAATTTCTTAAAGATTATATAGAACAAATTTCTAATGCAAAAGAAACCTCATGGCGAATATTTTGTACACACAACGCACAATAAAATATATTTTAATTACCTTATGAAACGGCCTTTGAAAAACTCAGAAAACCAATTATAATTCTATTCGTACTTAAAGAAAATAGTATACATCGCTTCACCTCAAGTCTAACCGGACACTTCGATGCCTCTGAGCCAATGAAGCAACGTCACAAGTACATCGTAACGTTACGGGTTTGATATCACCGCCTGAACTAATCACGCAAAGCAAAAACAACGTGTTTTTCGTCTCCAATGTGCGAAGAAACTAAAGCGATAGCTCTAGCATCGTCGCGCAATGCGGGTAAAATGGTACCGTCACGCACTACACGAGGACGGAAGTGCGATGTGGTTAATTCTCATAGCCGTCGTGGCTGGCGTCGTGGGTGCCACTGACGACTGTCACCAGTGATCCGTGAAATGGGTGAGCGCGGTGAGAGTTTCTAAGACCATTCAACGTTACGCGTAGCAACTGTCGATACTGCCAAAGTGGGATTTCGCATAAAAAGAAGAATGTTGGAAAACTAGTCTTTCAAGCAGACGACACGACGAATCTCCCTTCGTAGCGCAATTTTCGGGGGGCCGCCGGAGCTCGTATTCGTCTTTTTTGTCACGTTTAACAGCGTTTCCCGCCTTACTTCGTAACGTGTCGTCTTGTGATTTGCATGCCATCATTATCTGCACAACGTCTGCAGTAAATTTGTAACAGGTTTTGACTATTTTCACCATCGGCATACTGGATGCGTTTGAAAGGAGAGGCGCCACAGGAATAAGCGTTTGCCTTGAGCCACGCTGATTATGTAGGTGACAAAGTCAGCACGAGGGTTGAGGACCTAATTACCTATGAACACTCAAGTTTTCTCAGTGATATATAGTGGCAGAAGTTCCAAATAAGTAGCGCAATATGTACTTATGTGTGGTGGTATTTATTATTGGGCATGTAGGATCTTGACAAAAATAAAGTTCCAAGGGAGCAACTAAGCGTGTTTCCTGAAAGCTTCGTGCTCTGTCTTCAATAAAAATCTAAAACAGTTGCTTTTGATTATATGAGAGAACACGTGGATATATAGGTAACGAATTTTTAATTTTTATTTTATCTGATCCTATAGATTATGGTAACTTCAACATCGGGCGTTGTTTTTATTCAGGGTATTACACCAAAATGTGTTGGACGTTCATAATACCTTTTTGCGATATAAAGACTAGATTAATTGATCAGCTTATGTATCAATTTAAAAAAATGCACACGGTGCTTGCTTCAATGTGTGCAGTCATTCAAGTGCTTGAGCGAATTTCTTAAGACGTAGAACTCAATTAATTTACTTCGACTATTTTAACAGAGATGTCGGGACTACCTTGGTGAGAATACCGTCACATGCAGCTTCAGATTACCTAGGACCCTCAATGTGTGATATGTAACTACTAAGATTAAAAGCTTTAGAGGAAACACACGAAGACGACGAGTACCTCGTCGCCTCCGTGCTCGATTGGATCCACCGGATCGTAGCGCCGACTTCGGTCGGGGTATAAAAGCGTCGATACTCTAAGCCTTATTCGGAGGCTCCACTGAAGACGACTCACCGACAACGGAGAGATGAACGGTCGTGGTGTTCGCTTCCCGGCCGTCCCGGTAGGCCACCGTGCACACGTACGTTCCCGAGTCCACCAGGGTCACGCGCCCGATCTTGAGCAGTGCCGGGTCGTTGTGGATGGAGAAGTAGGAACGCGTCGCCCAGTCGGCGTCCACGACGTGCTCCGCCTGCCAGACGTCGCCACCGCGCCCACGGCCGTCCACGGCGTAAATCTGGCGGGGTGAAGGCCCGTCCACCCTGGACCACCGAAGCGCCAACACCGGGGAGGAGGTGCCTTCGCCGCCGCTACCGGCAGCGTGCCCGAGAGGACACAGCAGCGTGGCCTGGGCACCGCTGCGCACTCGAACGATAGGGGTCGGTCCTGGTGTCTGATTCTCGGTCTCGTCTGTAAGAGAAAAGCGTGACTTTAGTTCAATGTCTCTTAGTTGTCTCTGCTGCCATAGCCTCCTCTACATTCCGTTCGCAGCTAAGCGAACAGGACGGTGGAAGCTAAACTTCGTTTCACCTGAGACCCAGGCGCAGCCGACGCTACGAGCTGATGGGAGGAATCAGACAGCGTCAAAACGTACCATCGTAGTATTTGTCATTTTAATGCGTGAGCATTAGTGCCCTGGTACATGCCCTGAACTTGGAAATGGTCGGAGCACACGTTTATAGAGTTTGCAATGTCGCCACAGGGAAGCGCCACAGCCCCACGTATTACCAAGCAACCGAAGCTCGTCGCCGACGTCCCCCTTCGCCGATTTCGGCGCCACGCAGTGGGGCACGGCGGGTGTATCACTGGGGTGCGGGTTAACCCACCACCAGAACCAGTGACACCCTTCCCGTTCCCTCCCCGTTCACGCCGTTACACCGCGACAGTCGGCGGATCGCTCATTACAAAATATTAACCCACCTTGGGCCATTCGTAGACGCCGCCTTGCGGCGCAACGCCGGCGGCCTAAGTACCCCCCTAGCCCCGCTACCCCCCCCCCCCCCCCCCCCTTTTTTGCATCTCGGTTGCTAGGTGTGACGTCACACGGCCTGCTTACGGGTGCGCGCTTTCGACGATCTCGGAAGCTAGTGCTGCCGGCTTTAGGGACATATGCACGCACACGGGACGCGGTTCCGTTCAGTGGCCTGCCACGCCGCTTTTGACGCGCTGTCATCTTACTATGTGACAGGGCCGTAAGCGCACGGTAGCGTCCCCCCTGTATGCGCGACATGTATGCACAACCACGAAATGGCTCTGTCGTTTTCCACGCTTCGGGAGAACCTCTTTCATGCACGTGCTAAGTGGCATGATCTGCCTGCACCAGGCAGAACAGGGATTTCGGGAAGATTCACACAGCGGAAAAGTGCTCAGAGGCTGCGTTCACCATGCGGTCTTATATATAACCGCTGCGCGAAATGCTCACGCATTTCTCCTTTGCTGACTTTTCCCCATAGAAATGCATTGCCGGAAGTCAATTTTTGACTGGTTGCTGTATGCTTCAATTTCCGACAGCACACTAGAGCCAGCTGAACCTCTAGCTTACATTATAATAACCCCATTCGTCAGACAGAGTCGTCTCTGATCCGACTGAAGCCATCCCTCATGGGGTGGCTTCATTTCACCATGGAGGTGAAATTCCCCTACAACATGTGGCTTGCCACCTTCCCAGATGTAAAAGGTTTCTGCATGGTGAAGGATTCTTATAGGGTGTACAGGCTGAACAGTGAACATAACTACTATTTCCGACTTCTGGGGCAAGTGGCCCTGTCCGGCTGGAGCTGGAGATACTTTGTAGTGTACACCAAGTATATTTTGATTGGGAAAAGGATCCCATTTTGTCGGTCTCATTGGGTCATGTGCAAGGAAGTCATGTACGAGTTTTAGTTTGACACTTTTCTGCCTTACTTAGCGCGAGAGTAGAAGCAGTAGAAGCATGCCTACTTTCTTGAGCTTGAATCTAATTCCAGTCATCCTATCGACACACATTGCAACCGCCTAGTTCTCCTATATTTATATTTCTCTGAAAACTCCCGAGCTCTCTATATCATTTCAAAGGTCCTGCTAAATAGCAATATATGGCCTTAAGATATGCTGTAGCACAATATTTTGACCAAACCAAGCATTGTGTAGAACCACTCATGATTCCATGTTTTTTAATAACAGTGTACACTACTTGTTACATAAAGTACACTGGCACAGCACGAGGGTCCCCAGAAAAAATATGAAACAATGATGAACGCCCATTCATGCAGTCTGTGGCACATCCCGTCACCTGGTAGCAGTGGGAAAAAAATATATCTCTGCAGAATGACCGTTTATATTGAAAATGGCAGTGATGAGAATCAAGCTCAACATGCACTGCTCTCTTGCATGTTGAGCTACATGATTCATGTAGCTCAACATGTACATAATCCTGTCAAATATGGCTTCTCAAACTAGTGGCATAAGTTTATCTTTGCAGCGTTATGTGTATGTGATGTTAGGATAAGTCCTCTTCACTTTGTTTTCATTCTGTTGTAATGCATCTTCTTTTAATTCCAAACGTTTTTGAGTAGATGAGAGTTACTGAATGACACTCTGAGATGTATAGTATCATGCTTGTGAGCTCTGTCCTCTTATGCATTACCAGTCCTTATTTTTTGGTATTTCACAGACGCCTCATTATTGCTATTTAGCTCGTTTTGTTGCTTTGTCTTTGAAACAAAAACAAAAAAAGTACTTTCTTTCTCGACTTTATGATGTCCTCCCCGCCTCAAGTTGGGATATTGTCCTTACGCATGACAGAACAGTGATACCACCGTTCCTTAACGTTCTGCTTAACAGATTTTGTTAAATAGAGAGGGTTCCCTCATGGACAAGTTTCATGCATCTGCTTTCTCAAAGGAGGTGTAGGAACCCAGTCATTTCTACCCTAAAATGCCAAGTAAGCGACGTGAAAATAAAGATAACTGCAAAAAAAAATGGAGGTGGGCAGTCAGGTTTGATAGCGAAAAAGAAAAAAAAAAGTCACATGGTAGATGTGCGCCTTTCCTGGGTTAGAAGGAATGGTATGAGAGTTCTAAGGGGGTCGAGTGCAACGCCCAATGCTCAAGGCCGTTGTGCTGCTTGCGTGAAGTTTCACCACTTCACACTTGTGAACATGTGTAAACCTCCACGGGTTTGCACCAGTTTGCTCGGTGTCGCAGGGGAGCATCTTGGTTCGCCGGTGCACTCGTAAGTTTAATCGGATGAGAACCTGGTGTCTTTTACTTATTTCTCGATTGTCTCAAGAGTAGAGATTGCTCATTTACTATCTCATGCGGTACAGGCTTGACGTTTTACGATATTTGTCGGAGCCAAGAATGACGACGCCGAGATGAGGTTTGGCCCCAAAAATGGGATCTCCGTAGGCACACTAAGCGTGACATATAACTAGGGTGTGTACTTTCCGGTGTTTATTTGTGAGAAAAATCGGCGGATGTTTTTCGGTGTTTATTTATTTTCAAAACACCGGTGTATTTCGGTGGAACGTCTCACGACGAGGCTTAAATCGGTGATTATCGATGGAAAAAATGCGATTGATCACAGACAGAGAGTTCCAATTTTATTCACATATTTCATACAGTTCTCGAGGAAGCACATATTTCTCACACTTGGTTATTATAGTCGATGCAAGCATACTTCGAGAGGCTTGCATCCGTCATGGCAGCACGTTCCTTGCGGTTCACAACCCGCAATTTTGAAAACGCACGCTCCACATTTGCGCTGGGCACAGGAAATCCCAAAATGTCCAGCGAGGCTTGGCACAGTAGTGGCCAGTCAGGTAAATGCAGTTTTCGAAATAACACTGTACCAACGGTGCTAGTTACAGCATACTGGCGGTAACAAAGAAACTCTGATTCTGGGTCACTCAGCTAGCCCTCGTCTCGGAGGACCAGCCGATAGATACTTTCATAAGGCACAAATCCCTCTGGCAGCTTCACGTTTATGCACGGATTAACAATTGGCACGCGGAACCAGAACAATGATTAATCCATGAAATCTGTAGCGCTGTCACCCTGAGAAAACCCGCAAACGCGGGACAGACGCGCCTTCTCAAACACGTCTGCAAATTTTTTTACAGAACGGTCCTTTTATATACAGCCGAAAAACTCCCCCGCCAACAAAACCCTTTTTCCGTTTCCCCAAAAGCCCATGGAAACTAAACAGGTAACAAGGAACGCATCTCATTTCTGAAAGGTCGGTAGCCCTAGTACGACACGGATTTTGGCAGTGTCTTCCAGGAACCACAGCAACCTCTGAATACGTGGCTTGCACCACATTACTTGGCCAGACACAATGGCGAAAGGGCACGTGAGAGCGTACCTTCCACTGCGTTAATTTTTCCACAAAAAGGGGCCATGGGCGACACAATGGGGGAAAGGCGTGTGAGAGCTAGGGTGCCTACATGTTTCCGCTTCGAGCGGCCGAAGCATGTAGGCACCCTAGTGAGAGCTTAGCTTCCACTGCGTTAACTAGACGCTTTTGACCCCGAGAAAGGAGGGCGGACTGACGCCACGTGCAAGCAGGATCCACGAGATAACACGTTTGACGAACCTCTACGGGGAAAGGGTTTCATTACGTCGGAAACGTGCAACGACCGGTGTGATTCGGTTTTAACCAGGGCGAAAATATCCAACCACCGGTGTTTTTCGGTTTTAACCGATTTTGTACTTTCGTCACCGACGGATGTTTATCGGTGTTTTTCGGTTAAAACCGGAAAATGCACACCCTACATATAACGTGCTGAAACACCTGCACCAATGGTCTATTTTCTAAATCCTTCAAGCGCCCTTGCGCATGCTTAAAGGGATTGTCCGGTGAAAACCGGACGTTCTTAAGATCTAGTGATGGTTACCTGACATGAGCCTAATGATTAACATAGGCCATTTTTATTCTCATGAACGACACCCTAATTTAGTGTAATCAGTGACGGATAATTATACAAAAATTCAGGCCAGATTTTGCAAGTATCAGTGGCTGCGCGCCTATGCCTGATGTGACGTCACACCAGGCTTGCAACTGTCAGATCCTATGCCTCATTCCACCATCGAACACAATGCTCCCGACGCAACCACAGCGTTGCATTTTATTCGCCACCGTAAATTTCGCGGAGAAGTGTGGAGCGTGATAGTAGCACAACATCATTCACAAAAAAATATTTTGCGCAGCAACAAGAGGGAACCACGTCGTAGTGCTAACGCGGAGGGCAAAATTGTGGTGTAGCGTACGTTGAGCAAGCGCTGGCGCAAGCGTACATGCTCATGGCGGAAGCACGTCGCACCACGCCCGCCTACGAAGCTTCGCAACCGTACCGGTAGATGGCGCTGAATTGGTAAACAGATCAAGTGCTTGATGGTTGCATTTGCTTTCCTGCATTACATTTTTATGCCTGTTTACTGATATACATTTTAATATACTTCTGTGGCCGTGCACTTTTTTTCATGTGTAGTAGGTTTCATTTCAGTTTATTTTTCGTGCCCCCTTCCACTTAAAGTTCAAATAACCTGTATTATGCTCGAAAAACAAGTTTACGTCTTTATTTTTATAGTTTTATGGAGATCACTTCAAATGTTAGGACCACATGAGCGGGCTAGGGGAATGAAATGTGGAGCTACTTATAGGAAAGGTTACGTTTCAACGAGGACTCGAGCAATTTTCTCGGATTGTCTCTGGCAGTGGCCGGCCTGGAAGGTCATTTTAGGCTACGACGGCGGCCCCAAAATAAGATAAGTGACTTCTGTCGAATTACCCAAATACTAGAGAAAATGCTGGTAGAGAACTTAAACACACGCGCAGCACGCGCTCGCCTTATTAATATGAAAGATTCAAATCAAATAAACAGAATAAGGCTTCGACTAGCGCGCACGTACAAAGTTCCACTTGTTCCAAACTTTCTGGTATCGGCAGATTGAAGGATTCTGCTATTAGTTACTGCTGCAAACGCTGCAGCGCGTGAAACTACACTCGCGGCAGGCCCCTTAGTCCTTGGAGTATATATCCTTTCCAAAAGTGCGCACCACGACCCTTCACCTCGAGATTCGATCGGCACGACTCTTGTGGTGAAAAGAAGAACTACGCTTTGTTTTACACTTCCATGGAGCAAAACGAATGCTACGCACGCGAGGCCGAAGCCACGGAGCCGCCAATGCAGCACTCGCGCACCGGAATCAACTGCTAAGAGCTCGTGCTCTGTACTCTTGCCCGTGCTCTGGGCCGTTGTACTCTATTTCACCTTACGATGGATGGCAGGGAAGGCTACAAGCGCGAGCTCCTTGCTTTAAGGTACGTCTCGGCGGCACAAGCTCTCGTGCACTAAGGGCTGCTATTAACGCTATGAGCTCGCGCTTCTAGCCTTCGTTGCGGTACAACATAAGCTAAAACGGAGTATAGTGTGGACGCTTTGTCT